GTTTATATTTGAAAATCTTTTCCCCTGAGATTAGGAACTAGACACGTGCATCCACTATAGCCACTTTTCTTCAGCATTGTACTGGAGGTGCTACTCTGCAAAAAGGTGAAAAAGGAAACAAATGTCATAAGGATAGAAAGGGAAGAAATGAAATTGTCATGAAAGACTTCATAGACAAAATTTTAAAGTGAATTTAACAAGACTGATAAAAGATCAAATACAAGAATTAATCATATTTTACACATTACACATTATACATATTAGCATTTGTAGTGTCATTAAACCATATCAGATACCTAGGAATAAATCTCACAAAAGATATGAGAAAATTGCTGAAAATTACAAAGCGTCGTCGAGAGAAATTAATGAGACCTAAGTATAGCAGGAATATACCATATCTGTGAATTAGAAGATTCAATAATGATATGTTTGTTCTCACCATATTATTCTACATACTCAGAGTAATCCCAATCAAAATGCAGTAACTTTTTTGTATGCATGTAAAAATTGACAAACAAGTTCTAAAAGTATATAGAAATGCGAAGAGCAGAGAATATCCAAGGCTATTCTTGAAGATGAACAAAGCTGGAGGATTTATGCTAACAGATACCAATATCTATTGTGAAGTGATACTAATTAGACAGTGTGGTTTTATTGCAGGGGTAGACAAATTAATAGAACAATATCAAAAACGGCACACAGGTATACAGTCGTCTAATTCATGACAAAGATTACAGTACAGTGCAGTGGGAAAGTGGTAAGGGGAGAAGGAATGGTACTGGGTAATTTGGCTATTCCTGATGAAAAGAATATTGACTAACTCCCTTTACACAAAAATCCATTTCAGATGGACTGTGTATCTGAATGCAAAAGGTGAAACAGTAAAGCTTTTATTTTTTAAAAGTGGTCAGCATGACACCAGATTGCCAATCACATATCATGTGCATCAACAGTAGCTTTCTTAGCATGTCATTAATAAATTTTTCCATCATGTAGAATTGTGTTTACGTATCAGAATGCAAATACCAACGTCTGATTTATAACTTTTGGCTCATATTCTGTAATCCCCACATCTGTCAGGATTTGTGCCATCATCTGTGCATCTTTTGGCATGCTCTTAGGAGAAGCCATATTGCCAGGCTCCATGATAACTGATCAGGCTCCTCGAGCTAAATCACCCAATGAAAGTATTCCACCTAGTGTGGTGTACCAGTGAGCATCAGTTCCTGGTGTAACGGTGAGCAGAATATTCAGGAGCATCCTCACTGCCATGGCTCCAAGCACCTCCCCAAATTTTACTTTATCCTTTCAGTATCTGTAGGATCTCTAGTAATGGTAGTATGTGGGCGTGGAGGGGGTTCTTTTTCTCTTGAGTGAACTTGCCTAGGCGTTTATCAATTTTAATAATTTTTCCAAAGAACTAACTTTGGGGCTTGTTGATTCCTCTGGTTTTTTTCCCCCATTGAATTCTATTCGTTTCCTTTTTTCTATTTACTTCGGATTTACTATTCTTTTCTTTTCTTTTTTTTTTTTTTTAGCTTCTTAAATTGGAAATTCATATCACTGGTTTAAAACCTGTCTTATTGTTTACAATTACCACTTAAAACTATAAATTTCCCTTTAAGCTCTGCTTTAGCTGCATCCCACTAATTTTGATATGTTGTGTCTTCATTTTTAATCAGTTCAAAATATTTCCTAATTTCCTTGTGATTTATTTCTGTGTTCATAGATTATTTAGAAGGGTGCTGTTGGATTTTCAAGTATTTAGTACTTTCCTAACTATTTTATTGTTATTGATTTCTAATTTACTTCCACTGTGATCCAAAAACATACTCTATGAGATTTTAATCTTTTGAAATTTATTGATACTTTTGTATTCTTAATTTTTGTCTAGTTCCTCTTATATATATTATATATACTGTGTATATTATATACACAGAGTAGGTATTAAAAGCTTCATTTATGATTATGTAGTTGTCTGTTTCTGTCTTATAGTTCTTTCAGGGTTTTTTTTTACCTCTTATATATTCAAGTTCTGGGATTAGGTGCCCTTATGCTTGTTATGGTTTCCTGAGGAATTAACTTTTTCATCATTATGAAATGTCCCTTTTTATCTCTGATAATACTTCTCGTCTTGAGATTTACTTCATTACTGTTATAGATTACACCAGCTTTCTTATGCTTAGGGTTTATAACATCTTTTACTTTCAACCTGTAAATATATTTAAAATGAGTCCCTTGTAGAGCACATATAGTTGTATCTTGATTCTTTTAATCTAATCTGACAACCTCTGTCTTTATAATTTGAGTTCACTTGCATTTAGTGTAATCATTAATATGGCTGGAAATAGTTTTTATATTTTAATTTCTTTTTGTTGTTCTAGGCATTATAATAGGCATTATTAACCTACCTTAGTGTACTTAAAATTAATATTGTATCATTTTATGTAAAATGTAAGTACCTTGCAACACTATATGTCATTTTCCCCTTTCATCATTCATGTTATAGTTGTCATATATTTTACATCTACATCCATTATTAACCCCAGAATACAGTGATAGTGATATAATTTTTTGCCTTAAGCAGTCAACTGCCTTTTAAAGAAAATAAAATAAGAAAAAAAAATATATGTAGCATCTTATATTTTACTCTTTTGGACTTATCATTCCTTCTTTAAGGTGCAAGTTTCCATCTGTGTTATTTCCCTTCACCCTGAAGAATTTCAGTATGTCTTGTAATGCAGGTCTGTTAGTAACAGACTCTCTCAGTTTTTGTTTATTGGAAAATGTTTTTCTTTCATCTTTATTTATTTTAAGAATTTTTATTTATTTTATTTATTTATTTTGGGATGTGTTGGGTCTTCGTTGCTGCACGCAGGCTTTCTCTAGTTGCGGCGAGGTACACAGGCTTCTCACTGCGGTGGCTTCTCTTGTTGTGGAGCATGGGCTCTAGGTGCGCAGGCTTCAGTAGTTGTGGCATGCGAGCTCAGTAATTGTGGCTCGCAAGCTCTAGAGCACAGGCTCAGTAGTTGTGGCACATGGGTTTAGTTGCTCTGTGGCATGTGAGATTTTCCCAGACCAGGGCTCAAACCCATGTCACCTGCGTTGGCAGGCAGATTCTTAACCACTGCACCACCAGGGAAGCCCTCATCTTTATTTTTGAAGGATACTTTTGCTGGATGTAGAATTCTGAGTTGACAGTATTTTTCTTTTACCACTTTAAAGTATGCTCTTCCTTTCTCTTCTGTCCTCTTGTTTCTGATGAGAAGTCATCTATAATTCATAGTACTGCTCTCTGTATGTGATGTGTCTTTTTTCCTGGGCTTTCAAGATTTTCTCTTCATTTTTGGTTTTCAGCAGTTTTGTTATGGTGTGCTGATTGGGCTTTTCTGCACTTCTGAACCTGTAAATGAATGGTTTTCACCAAATACGGGAAATTGTTGACCATATTTCTCTGCATATTTGTCTTCTGCATCCCTCATCTCCTTTTTTGTGACTCTGCTTACACACATATTTGCTCTTTTGATATTGTTCCACAGATCATTGAGGCTCTCTTTATTTAAAAAAATATTTCTCTGTGTTCTTCAGTTTAGAGTTCTATCAATCTCCCTTTAGGTTTATTGCCCCTTTCTCCTGCCATTTCCAATCTACTGTTAAAGCCAACCTGTGAATTTTTTGTTTCATATTTTGAACCAGAATTTCAGTTCTGGAATTTCTGTTTGGTTCCTTTTTAAATTTTTTCTAGTATCCAGTTTTCTGTCATGATTTTGCATCTGTTCACTTATAACTATAATTTCCTTTAAGTCCTTTAACATAACTACAGTAGTTGCTTTGAAGTCCTTGTCTGCTAATGTTAATACCTGAGCCATCTTGGTGTCAGTTTCCATTGATTGCTTTCTTCTTGACTATGGGTTACATTTTCTTACTTCTCCACATGCCTAGAAAATTTTATTATATATTGAACATTGTAGATAACACATTATAGAAATTCTGGATCATGTTCCTCTGAAGAATATTGGTTTTTGTTCAAGCATGCAGGTAAATTACTAGTTGATCCCCTTAAAGTTGTGGAGGCCTGGTTTTTATACTTTGTTAGGGTGACTCTGTTTCAGTTTTGCTCTAGTCTTATAGCAAGTTCTTAGTCCTGGGAGATAGTCTCTGCTTCTAAGGCATGGACATTCAGGGGTTTTCAGTGAAAAGCCTGAGGTGGTTACCTGGCCCCTCTAACTTGATGAGATTCAAACTCCAATTTCTGTCTCCCCTGCTATAAGCAGGCAATGAAATCTCTGCTCAGCTTTGTCTGCCTTCCAGCAGTTGCTTGTTGGTGGACTATCTGGCAGTTCTTCCCCACATGCACAACCAAGGGTTTAAAGGGAGTTTACACAAATCTTTAAAATCAGGTGCCATACTAATCCATCTGAAATCTTTAGAAATGTGTTACCCCTGAAGAAATTAATATTTTCCAGGTATTATTTTTTTTCTTTTTTTTTTTTATCGTGATGTGCGGGCCTCTCACTGTCACGGCCTCTCCCGTTGTGGAGCATAGGCTCCAGACGCGCAGGCTCAGTAGTTGTGGCTCACGGGCCTAGCCACTCTGTGGCATGTGGGATCTTCCCAGACCAGGGCACGAACCTGTGTCCCCCGCATTGGCAGGTGGATTCATAACCACTGCGCCACCAGGGAAGCCCCAGGTATTATATATTTTAAGCATGACCATCCCAACACAGTCTCCAAATGTGATGAAAATCTACCCATGATCCAGTAACAGGCACATGGACCCTCAGTTTTATTTGTCCAGAAGTTGAAGGGTTTTTGCCTGCAGCCCTATGGTCCTATTAATGTTTAGGGGTATGGCTATCTCCTCTGCCACACTTATGAATGGGCACTTGAATTTAACCTAAGGAATAATTAAAACTAGCTAATAGTTTACAGTTTGTAGATATTTTATTGGCAGGTAAAAAACTCATAAAACTGCCGTTGACTTTTGGTTTAACTTACAGGTTTTTTGATATAATCTTACTTGCTGTCTCCATTGCATGGGTCCCTGCTATACAAATGGCACACAGGGAACAACTATTTGAATACATGCAAGCAGTTTTAAGTTACCTGATGCCGCCCATTGCTGCCATCTTCCTGCTTGCCATATTTTGCAAGAGAATCACTGAGCAGGTAGGTGGGAGTTGGCATGGCCACAGCATGGCACAGTGTGAGGGCTTGCCTTCACATCATACCTATCTTTGCAAAAGTTGCCCTGAGAGGGTCTCTTGTGCTTCAGGAGTTGACACCGTTGCATCGTTTGCTTTCTGAGAGATGATTTACTCCCGGGCAGCTTTGGTCCGAGCTCCCTCATGCTTGCAGGGGAAAGGCAAGCTCTGATTTGTTTTCTTCCCTTTGCAATGTAATCCACTTTCGACTGTGCCATAGATGGTGCAAAGTGTGTGGGATCCTCCTGCATGCTCATCTAGCCACAGGAAGATATTCTTCTGTTGCCTCTGTGCATGGATGTTTCCTGCTCAGAGGTTTCAAACTCACAGGGGGATGTTCAGTCATGAGCTCCTACCGCCTTCCCTGCATGAAGACCATCTCCTCCAGCCACACTTAAAACTAAATAAAGATCCCAATTAATGGTTTGATCATTTCATCAGTAAGACTGAAAGCACAGTTTGCCAGAATATTTTCATTCATTATTTGAGTCACTTCTTGACCTGTTTCTCCTAACAGCACTGAGCAGCTGGGCCTTGCATGAGTTCCCGAGCATGGTGCCTCTGTGACCTGGCTCCTGCCTGCCTCTCAGCCCTGGCCCTCTCCATACACAGTCCCTAGGCCCCAGCTACTGTTAACCACTTGCAGTGCTGATTGCCTGTCTCATGCCTTTTCTGGCCCCTCTTCATTCCTGTGGACTCTTTGCTTTGCCATGAATATCTTTGTCCACCTCCATCTGGCTGGTGCTTCCTGCAGGCCCATGTCAGGTGTTCAATCCTCCAGACAAATCTGCTAGTGCTTCTTGCTCTGCCCAGCTCACCAGGACTCAATTGGGCACCGAGAATGGGGTGGGGGGCTGCTGGGCTCTGGAGATGCTCTTCTCTGTGCTCTCTTGGGAAGGGCAGGGGCAGAGGAGCAGGCAGTCAGGAGAACCTGCCTCCTACCGGTGATGGTCACCACCCTTGCAGTACTGGGGCCTATCACCAAGGGAAACTGGGGATCTTGTCAGTGGCTCTCCAGCTACCCCTGGTCCAAGGTTACAGCGTATTGTGGCTACCTTCCTTGACCTAGAGAACTTCTCCAGGCCTTCTCTCCCACCCTCATCTGGCTTCTGCTGCCCATCTGTTTCTAGATCTTCCCTTTTCTGCACGCCTCCTTCAATAAATGGGTCCTGTGGACCACACCTGGCCTTTGGTTTCAGCTCTTTCTCCAAGATGCTTCCCACATACTGTATCCTCTACCTCCTCCAACATTCAGCCACACCTGAGACAGGCTCCAGGTGCAGCTCTAGGACCAAGATGAAGTCCTCACTCTTAAAGAGTGGACTGTCCAGTTGGAGGAGACGGATGATACCCAATGAGCAGATAAGATTTCTGAGAGTGGTGTAGTGCTGTTTAAAAGTCAAAAAGGATCATGGAGGTTAGCAGGGTAGGTGCTGGGGGCAGGGGGAGCACAAGGACATTAGCCAAGGTAGTGGGAGAAGATTTCTCCTAAGAAAGTGACCTCGAACCTGAATCCTGGAGGATGAGCTAGAAACACCAAGATCTAGATAGAGAACCAAGCAGAAAGAAGGGCAAGTACAAAGGCCTGGCCAAGAGCACAGTGGGCAGCCCTGACATGCAGGAAGAGGTCATGCTTAGTGGCTAGAGTAGACTGACCAGGGGAGAGGGCGGAGCCAGGTGAGGTCAGCTCGAGCAGATGAGACTTGCTTCTGAGGGCAGCCATGAGAAGCCACGGTGGTCTTCAGCAGAGTCAGGGCACTCCCTAATCCATGCTTTGAAGAGATCACTCTGGCTTCTTGGACAGCGGGTGAGCAGGAGACCAGGTCTGGATTCCACCTGTGTGAGAGAAGGTGGTAGATGGGGATTGAGGTGGTCGCTGTGGAGACGATGGGACGATTTGCTGATGGATTGGTGGTAGGGCAGAATGGAAGGAAAGGGGCCAGGGATGTCTCCTGCGGTTTCTGCCTGAGCTGCCAGGGCGATGGAGGTGCCCCTACAGCAACAGGCAAGACTGAGGTCTCTTTGGACACATTACGTTTGAGATGTGTCTTCACCGTCTAACTTAAAACTGTCTCCAGTATTTCCTAAGTTTTCTGATTGACCTAAGAGAGTGTCCATGTGTCTTCGGTCTGTGTTCAGCCCAAGAAGGTGTCATCTCCTCGCAGTGCTAAGACTCTGCTTCTGCAAGGCATGTGAAGCCCTTGTTATGCTGAGTTTAGCTGACCAGTTTAGACTGGTCAGGAGGCGAGGCTGAGGATGGCTTGTCTCATTCCCCGTCTTCCTCCCAGGCGACTCTCGGGGCTCCTTCTTTGGCAGGGTGCCTTCTGGAGGCTGACTGGTGGACTTCTGATTGGCTTCTGCCGCATGGTGTCCAAGTTTGCCTACGGGGCCTGGAGCTGCTCGACAAACAGCAGGTGCTCTCGGATCATCTGCGGCGTGCACTACCTCTACTTTGCCGTCATCCTCTTCACCATCAGTCTTTTCACCGTCCTGGGGATCTCCTTGTTCACAGACCCGATTCCAGATAAACATGTGAGTGCTGCCATGAGGATGCTCAGGGGTCCACCGCAGTCCCAGTGTCCCTGTGAACCACAAGTTGGCTCTGCCAGCTTTGGAGAAAAGTGGCTGAATTCCTGCATTCTTTTTGAAAGCGGGGTGGGGGGAGAGAGGGGGCGGGGGCTGGGGGTTGGGGGGTGACGGTTGGGTCAGAAATAGGCAAATAACCTCCTTGCCTTAAAAACTAAACTAAAAAGCTTTCCAACAGGCCTCTAATTATGTATTCACTGAGAATGAGAAGTTTGGTTTTTAAAATACAAAATTTCCTTGAAGTGCTAAGGTTGCTAACCTCAGCGTGAATTAATGTAATCAGGGCAGTCCCAGCTGCCACCCACCCAGAACGGATTAAGCCAGCAGGAGGGGGGACAGTAATGCTAGCAGTGCTGTGGCTGGTGGCTGGGCACACCTCATTCTCCTTTCCCGGCCACTTCCCCCCTCCCAGGAGGCAGGTATCAGTCACCCCAGTTGGAATATAAAAAGCCTGGGCTCAGAAAAGTCAAGTCACTTGTCCATGACACCAAAACTAGCCAGCAGCAGGACTGGGCCTGACCAGACTCCATCGCGTCACCCACGTGGGCATGGCCAGGAGGCTTAGCAGGACAGGGGCTTGGCTGAGCCGAAGAGCAGCAGGGAGGGTCCTAGGTGTCAGAGGAGAGGGCAGGAGGAGCTCAGAAGGGAGGCGGGTCTGTGAGACCCGTGTGCCCTGGGGTCTGGGTGAGAGCTGAGAACTTGGAAGGCCGCCTCCCCTGTGGCCACCTTTCTGCTCAGTAGTTCCTTTTGACCCATTCCTCTCTCGCACACAGCCCCGTGGGATTGGGATGGAGCAAGTGGGGAGGACGGCCAGGAGTGCCCAGGACAGCTCGCCCACCACACGTCCCTGCCCTGCTCCCGGCACGTGGAGAAGCCGTGGGTGCTGGACCCAAGCTCCTGTCTCTCAGGGTCTTCATGGTTGACTTGTCTGACTTCTTTTCTGCTGCTCTTGTATTCTCAACTTTTTGGTCTTGCCCGCTTCTCAGGCAGCCACGTGCTTGAGTGCTTTTCCTGCCCAGCAGCACAGGTGCTCTGGAGAGGAGGGGAGGGAGGCAAAGGGGGAACCGTGCTTTCGGGTCAGTGTCTGTGCTGCACACTGGGCGCTACCAGGGGAAGCGGGACCACACTCAATCCCATGTTCTTCCTGCCCAGCGGCCTGGTCCACAGGGCTCATCGTGTAATTGGGAAGGCAAATGCAGATGTACAGCATCACCAGGAAGCAACTCAAGGCTAAACCCAGTCTCTGTCACTGACACGGCAGCAGGTTCATTACTGACGTCTTAGTCCGAGAGGCGGGGCTTGGAGGGGCTGCTCAGTCACATCCCTGCTATGTTTGGGGGAGTGGGAGAGGTGGTGGTGCTGAGATTCAAATATACCGAAGCTGGTATAATAGATTAAAACCTGCTCCGGGAGAGACTTGGTGGAAATGTTCGCTTACTTGTGCTTCTGCTGACCCCAACCCTCAAAAAAAGCAAAAAAAGCAACAGCAATTGTCTGGGTTTTACTTCCCAAAGTCTCCATATGTGTTTTCAGGAAGAGAACAAAATAACAGACTAGAAGGGAAGGGATGCTCCCCTTCTGCATCTGCAAATGCCTTGCTGAGCTTGAGCGACTAAGCCTGGCTAGGGACCAGGTCAGCCGGGTACCCCAGGTGAACCAGGTCAGGCCTCCTCTGGGCTGTGTGAGTGCTCATCTCTGACAGCCAGGAGGGGCTCCTGGAAGGAAAGCAGAGTTCCCAGGTCTACCCTGCGGGCCCATCCACCAGAAGCAGCAGACCGGAGTGATGAGCAGCTTCTCCCACCCTGAAGGGCACAGCTTCCTAGACCCTCAGTTACTGGAAGAAGCCCTGAGCGTGTTGCCTCCTACCCTACCATCCAGCCCAAGACACTGAGGTCACCTTTGGGCAGCCGCACAACCACACAGGACCAGAGCCAGCACTGAAATCCAGGGTTCCCAGGCGCCTTGCTTTCCCCACCCCATGTTCCTTCTGTCCCTTGTTGGAGTCTAACGACCCTTTTCAGTCCCTCGAGACCCTGGTGCCCAGCTGTGAGCTGTGGCACCATAAGGCCTGCGTGACATGGCCCTGGGTGGTGACGTGTGCCTGCTCTCCCCGCAGCTACGCCGCCTCTGTTGGAGTTTGTGGAACAGCCAAGAGGAAAGGGTCGATCTGGACAAAGACACACAAGGGAAGAGCCCCGCACCGCAGGCACGGCCAGGTGAGAAGGGAGACCCAAAGCCAGCAGAGAGGCCTGTGCTGCTCCTTGCCCCCACCCCCGCTGTCTCCACTCCCAGAAGTACTTCCAGGCAGAGGCTCCGTCTTTCATTTTCCCAAAGATGCCTTGTGGGTGTTTGTCGAGGGTGAGATGCCTCTCGGCCATCCGTGTGGCCGTCCGGGCCAGAGAGATCCAGATGGGAGGCATCAGCAGGTGCCGGGGGAGGAGGGAAGGGCCCGTGAGGGGCAGAGAAACACAAGTGTCTGGTGATCTAGGAGCGTTTAAGCTGGGGTGGGAGGGATCCACCGAGCCACACAGATCACATTGTGCCTCAGCAGGAGGGGAGGAGGCACTGGGGACAGGGGAGGGACAGCAGGTCACAGAGTCTCACACAGGGATTCAAACCCAGAGGGATTCTGGGAAGTGGGCGGGAGCCTCTGCAAGGAGGAGGGAGCAGCCCCACCCAAGAGGGCGCCGGGGGACACCGCCAAGGACAGCCGATTTCACTGGGGCAAGAAGAGAGAGTTCCGGGAGAGGCTCGGGCCTGGGGGCCCCAGAAGGCCCAGAGGAAAGCTCTCAGCAGATGGGGTCAGAGGCGGAGTGCGGGGGCCCCAGGGAGGGTGACCTGCACCTCCTGAGGCCCTGACGCAAACAGGGATAAAGGCCTAACGAGATTAGCGCTGAGTCTGGGGCAGAGAGTCTGGGGGGACTGTGAGTTTGGAGGAGGGAGGGAGGGAAGGCCTGCCTGGGGAGAGGCAGTGTTCTGGGGCCCCCTCTCCACTCCTGCCAGGAACGTTCAGAGCCTAGAGGGGCCTGGGACCCTCTCCCGACACCTGTAGGGCAGGGGAGTGGCCTCTCCTGAGCCAGGCTGCCCCGCGCCCCTGGAGGGTACAGGGCTCCCAGGATTGCTCTCCCTCAGGGACAGAGGAACTGCCCGTTGGGGGCCACGTGTGCCGGGGGCTTGTTCTGGGGGCACCTCCCAGCTCCTCTCCTCCCTCGTCCACAATCGTGGGTGGATGCCATGATGACAGTGGCTCACACTTTTTGCCCATTTGGGATGTGCCAAGCACTGTGGAAAGTATGCCTATGTGTGACAGGTACAATTATCATCCCCATTTCAGAGATGGGGGGACTGAGGCACCAAACATTTAAGTAGTCGGCCCTGGACTCCAAAGATAACCAGGCAGTGGTGGAGCTGGGATTTGAACACAGGCAGTCTGACTCCAAAGCGTGTGCTCTTGGCCACTGTCCCATCTCCCGTCATACAGCTCTTGGGCTGTGTTTACATGATCAGTCGCCACTGATATACAGCAACCTTTTTGGGCCTGGCAGCTGCATGATGGTGTGCTGACCCAGACATCTGAGAGACCGAGAGACAGGACCAGCATGTGCCGCTCAGGACCTTTCAGCACCGCAGCAGGTATCTGCGTCTCTGGAGTTCTCTGGCGGCAGCACCCCCCCTGTAACACAGGCCCCTCCGTCACTGGCTGACGGGTTCCGCCATCCCTGGTGCTGCCCCAGCCTCAGGACACACAGCTGGCGTGGTGGCTGCCCAAGGGGATGAGACATGGAACAGGTCACAGCGCACACTTCTCGGACTGAGGTGTGCTTGTCTTATCATCAAAGAGGGATCCGTTCCCAGACTGGCTGGGCTCACGTGTGTGCGGAGCTGGCCGTGGTGCTGACCCGCGCCTGAGCAGGCCTGGGAGCGGCCAGCGTGGACTGCACTACCAGACACCGGAGGGATATTTAAGCCCCGGAGTGAGACATTTCACTGATTTGGTCCAGAGCTGTGAATAGAAACTTGCCCATAATTCCTAGACTTCCCCCGTTCCTGGAGAAAACACCAGTGATTCCCCTTTCAAGGGCCCAGAGGGCCTTACTTTGGGCCAGGTTGTGAGACTGGTACCTACCTGGAGAAGACACGCCCCAAGGTTGCTGAGGAGAGCAGAGCAATTGGGGCTTTTTCCATCCTCAGAGGAGCAGCCACTTGCCCTAGACCTACAGAGCTGTGCTGGGCGTGTGCCAGAGACGGGAGGGGTGGGCCCTCCAGTGCCCAGCGGGGAGGGCCTGCCCCGTGCCGGCCGGGGTTCTGGGCCGGCTGAAGGCTCTGCCAGTGCAAGCAAGCATGGCCCAGGCCACACCCCAAGTCCCCCCTCCGTGTCTCTGAGGGCGGCGGGAGGTGTTCTGCAGCAGCGGCTGAGGACTGTTCTCCACATTAGAGCCAGTCTGTTGGGCTTCCTGCCGGCCTCACCACTGAGAGGTGAGCCCTAGAAAGACCCCCCTCCTGTGTGTGGCCTCTTAGCCTCCTGACCTGTGCCTGTACCCTCTGTTCCAGACATATTTGAGGAGGTCAGGAGCTGCCTCTGGAAGGCCTGGGATGTGTTCTGCGGACTGGAGCCACTGCCAGGCCCCAGACTCGCCCCGGAAGAGGCAGTCATGCAGAAGATGGAGTGTGGTGACACGGAAGGGACACAGCACAGTGCCACTTCTGAAGGGACAGAGAAGCGTGACATGCTGGAAGGAACAAAGCTCCGAGACATGCCAGAGATATCCCACTGGAGAAAAGTGCCCAACGTCTGCGGGTTCCTCTTGGTATCGCTCACAGTGCTCTGCCACTTCTACTTCTAGGCAGCCTGCGGGGACGTGTGGGGAACGGGCGAACCACCGCCTCTTGCAAATGCCCTCATCGTCGAGGGGAGGAAACATTTCCTACGGGGAGGCCCACGGACGTGGACCAAGGATCACACTGATGAAAACGCGCCCACAGCGTCAACGCTGCAGGCTGACGGGCGGCGAAGCCCACTGGTGAGGGCAGAGACCGAAGATGAGCACGTCTGTCCTCTGTGTGATGAGTCATTCTCTCCAGATGGCTCCACTGCACAAACACTGGCTTTCACTTTAAATTTAATTTTGGCTTTTTATCTCTAGATATATTTGGGGGTTTTGCTTGTGTTTACTGTCACCATTTCCTTCCTATACCCACCTCTGTTTGCTATGTTCTCTCCTCCTTTGTAAAGGTATGGCTGCTGGCAAAGATGCTCCTCCTCGCGCCAAGGGTCCCACCCACAAGGGGCTGTGCCTACTGCCGATGACCACACAGGCCAGCTGGCGCCAAGGCTGCCGCGGATGGAAACGTTGGCTCCTGCCTGGACCCATGGTGGGGCTGAGGCGGTCTCTGCCTGAGGACCAGGCCTCCCTGTGGCTCAGCTCTGGCTGCACCCCTAAAGGGCAGGTGGAGAGGAAACTTCCCTCCTTGTTGAGCTCCTCCCAGTTCCTCCCAGTCTGCCTGCTACTGGGAGTTGGGCCCAGGGGCTGGATCCCCTTTAGCTGTCAAGTATAGACCACTCCTGGGCTGTGTCTCTGGGAGAGGCTCCCTAAGCCACCCCTTCCTCTTCCTTCTTCTTAGACCAAAATAAATGATTTGGGTCTTTAGAAAAAGTTTCAGATGCCTTGAAGTGATTTGGGGGAGGCCCACCCAACATTGCAAAAGTCACACTCTGAAGGTGCAGTCGGGACAGCCCCCCATCCCTCGTTTAGTCTTTCAGCTGACATTTTTGAGTGCCTGCTATGTGCCAGCACTGCTGGGAAGCAGTCATGGACAGAGCTCATGGTCTAGGGAAGTAGACAATGAAACACGAGCGGTGATGGCCAGCACCTCGTGTGGCCCGCTATTTCCCTGCCCAGGTTACCATCACGTTCAAGCCATGGAGCCACCCCATGTGGAAGGACCAGAATCAACCACATTTCACAGAGGAGGAGACTGAGCTCAGCCAGGGGACCGAGTAAATGGGCCCTCTGTGCATGTGCACGTGGCAGGAGCACCCACAGGGAGGAGGCCTCCCGTGACTGAAGTAGGAGGTCAGCTAGCTGGATAACAGAGGGACAACATGTGGGAAGACAGGGTGAGGCAAGGGTGTGAGGAGGCCAGAGTGCAGAACTGTGGGAGATGGGGAGGCGGGGAGGGCAGGGTGGGCAGGGGCTGGACCTGCAGGCCTCAGGTGCTTTGGGATCCTGAGTCCCTGGGAACTTCAGCCAGGAAGGGATGGGATCAGATTTGCTGGCCGCTGCTGGAAGATGAAAGGGCGGCAGGAACACCCACCAGGAGGCTATTAGAGGAATCCAGGCAAGTTAGCAGCAAAAAAAGAAAAGACAAGGGAACAGCATCAAGAGAAGCCAGCAATTAGAAGTAACAGGACTCGAGTACTAGACTTCTGGAGGGAGGGCCCAGGAGTGACTCTCTGGTTTGAACATGTGGGCAGAGGGTGTACCAATTCCAAAGACAGGCCACACTGGAAGAGAGCAGGTGCAGGAGAAAAGTGGAGCACCGTTTGGGACATGTGGAGTTTGAGTTGCATGAAGATACTTATTGCCGTCTTGACAATGTTAAGTCCTCTGCTTCATGAACATGGGATGTCCTTCCATTTATTTAGGTCTTCTAATTTCTTTCAACAGTGTTTTGTTTTCAGCACTCAAGTTTTGCACTTCTTTTGTTAAATTGATTCCTGGGTATTTTATTCTTTTTGATGCTACTGTAAATGAGGTGGGTTTTTTTCTAATTGAGTTATAGTTGATGTACAATATTATATAAGTTACAGGTGTACAACATAGTGATTCACAATTTTTAAAGGTCATACTCCATTTATAGTTATTTTAAAATATTGGTTATATTTCCTGTTGTACAATATATCCTTGTAGCTTATTTATTTTATACATAAGAGTTTCTACCTCTTAGCCCCCTATCCCTTTTCTTAATCGCATTTTCAGATTGTTCATTGCTTATGTACAGAAAATCCTGCAACTTTGCTGAACTCATTTATTAGTTCTAATATTTTTTAAGTGTCTTCCTTGGGATTTTTCATATATAAAATCATGTAGTGTGCAAGTAGAAATAGTGTACTTCTTTCTTTCCAACCTGGATGCCTTTTATTTCATTATCTTGCCTAAACTGCCCTGGCTAGAACCTCCAGTACAATGTCAAGTAGAAGTAGTGAGCGCAGACATCCTTGTCTTATTCCTGATCTTAGAGGGAAAGCATCCAGTCTCCTCATCGTTGAGTATGATGTTAGCGGTGAGTTTTTGCAGATGTTATCATGTTGAGGAAATGCCGCTCTTTCCTATTTTGCTGAGAGTTTTTGATTCTGTTTTAGTTTGGTTTTTTTTATGAATGGGTGTTGGATTTTGTCAAGTGCTTTTTTTGCATCTATTAAGATGATCATGTGGTTTCTGTTCTTTCCTTACACGTTACATTGATTCATTTTCACGTGTTAAACCAACCTTGCATTCCTGGGATAAATTACAGTTGGTCATGGTGTATAATGATTTTCTCATGTGGTTGGATTTGGTTTGCTAATATTTGGTTGTGTTCTTGTGTCTATATTCATAGAGGTCAATAGTTTTCTTTCTTTATGAGGTCTTTGTCTGGTTTGGGTATCAGGGTAATACTGTCTTCATGGAATGAATTGGAAATTGTCCCCTCTTCTATTTTTTTAAATTAGTTTGTGAAGGACTGGTATTAATTTTTGCCTGGAGACATTTAAGGGTAAGTATTAAGTTGGATGGAAGGTCCAGAACACAGCAGAGAGGCTGGCGCTAGAGACTCAGACTGAGGGGAGAGAAGACAGTGGACCAGCCTAGCTAAGAAGTGAACCTGGTAGAGGAAGCCCAAATCAGGCAGATGAGATTGCGCAAGAGAGCAAACAGAGATGTCAGGTTAAGAAAGAGGGTTCTTTCTGCAGAGGAGACTGAAAGGGCACAACCAGGGCCCTGGGAGGAGCATCAAGACAGCCGCCACAGGAAGGGAGCACTGGCACCTGGGTTACTGCTCGGGCCAAGCACAAAGAGCACAGGAACTTGGCAGCAAGAAGTCCAGAGCCCTTCAAGGAGGTGGTAAGGGTGGAGCCAGCGTGCTATGGTTGAGGCAGGATGAGGAAGTGGAGACCCTCAAGCCCCTTTTTTCCTGAAGGAGGAAAGGTTTCCTCTTACAGGGCCTTTTTTGAGAATGAGATTTAACCTGAAACCCCAGCTGGGCCCGGCAGCAGGTCCCTCCCAGTACAAGAGGGGCTGCTTGGGCTAATCCTGGAATCCCAGGATGCAAGCGTCTCTGTGTTTCTGCTAGGAAAGTGAAGGCCCGAGGCACTGGAAGGACTACAAGAAGGCACTCAGCTGGGGATTCTAGCTCTGCAGGTAGCGTCTATTGTGGGAGGTTCTGTCCCTCAGGAAGTGTGGCTGCTGCTTGGTGATGTAACAAGGGAAACCTGGTGTGAGGCAGGGAGCCTCAGAAAGCTCATGGGGGAGATTAAAGCTTCGGCTCAGCCCAAACGAGGCCAGCCCTGAAGCTGAGCTGCTCCTACAGCTTCTCCAACAGAGGGCAGAACCCTGCCAGACCACCGGACAGGTTGGGTCGGGGAGATCAAGGAGTCCCCATGCCTCCTCCCCTCCAACCCCCCGCACCCCCCCCCCTCCCCCCCGCCAGGGCTCTCCAGCCTCCTTAGCCAGTTTCACTGCGGGAGAAGCAAGGCCGGTGGAGGCACAGGTGGGAGCTCTCTGGAGGGAGGCCTGGCAGACAACAGGGGGAGGGCTGCGGGGGAGGCCAGCCTCAGGCCAGCCCGAGCTTACGAAGGTGACTTGGCTTTGGAGAACACAGCTGTTTGGGGGGAAGACCTTAAGGAGCTGCCCTGTTCTGAGCTCTCATCCCTGGGGTGGGGGTGGGGGCCTCTTACAACTCACCCTCCTCCAGCAAGTGCCCACTTGGGGTTGCACCTGTGAGCTTCCTTCCTGTCGCCCCACGTGGGGAGGGGGCAGACCTGGTGAGCAGGGCCACACCCAGCCACACCCCATGGGCCTATTCACTGAGCGTCCGGCTCAGGCAGTGCTGCCTGGACCAGCTGTTCCATCCCCCACCCAGCTCCCTGCCCCCACCTTGTCCCTAGACGCTTGGCCCTGCTCTGTGCTTTCCCAGGGGACTCGACCACAGCAGACAGCAGGGATGCCTCGCACCCGGCCCTGGACCCTGGGTTCAGCCTGTGACCCTGTCCTTCTGGGCCAGGCATTTCCCCTTTGGCAGGAGAGAGGAGAGCCGTGACCTGCCCCAGAAACATCAGGTGCCATTCAGACCAAGATGAAGAGATTCAGCGCATGTATTCAGGCATGGAGTCAGCAGGTGGGGCCGGTAAGAGGCTCAGGGTTTCCACTCAATGACTTTGACAGCGATCTGGGCTGCCCGCTGCACAGCCGCGCTGGTGTCCTCCTTGAGGGCCCGGAAGGTGGGCACGTGGGACTGCAGGATCTTGCGGCCCTCGGGGGCCTCGGCCAGCATGGTGAGGACCTTGATGGCATTGAGGCGCGCCTTGCTCAAGGGTGAGTACAGTAGCTCCAGCAGCGGACCGATGGCCTCTGTGTCCAGGGCTGCGTACTTCCCTACAGGGCACCAACGCCAGGCGTTCCTGGGGTTCCCTGCCCACCTTCCTCGCCCCCCAGCCCTCCCAACGCAGGCTCCACACCCTCCCTGCCCCCAGCCTGGGCCCTGCAAGCTCCCCAGCCGGCTTCTCCCCAACCACCAGGTACCTGTCCCGCAACCCAGTCCTCTCAAGGCAGCATGAGGGGTCTTTTGAAAATTAAAATCCAATCGA